AAAGCTGAATGCTTTTCCCTTAAGACCAAGAACAAAGCAAGGATGTGTCCACTTTTACCACTGCTATTCAACATCATACGGAAGCCCTAGCCAGTAAAATAAAAAAATGAAAAGAGGGCCGGGAGTGGTGGCTCACGCCTGTAATCCCAGCACTTTGGGAGGCCGAGGCGGGTGGATGAGAGGTAAGGAGATTGAGACCATCCTGGCTAACACGGTGAAACCCCGTCTCTACTAAAAATACAAAAAAATAGCTTGGAGGGCGCCTGTAGTCCCAGCTTCAGGAGGCTGAGGCAGGAGAAAGGCGTGAACCTGGGAGGCGGAGCTTGCAATGAGCTGAGATTGTGCCACTGCACTCCAGCCTGGGCGACAGGGCGAGAATCCATCTCAAAAAAAAAGAAGAAAAAAAGAAAAAGAATAAAGAAAAGAAGAGGAAGGAATAAAACTGTATCTATTCATAGACAATTTGACTGTCTACATAAAAAACTCCATGGAATTTACAAAAAAGCTGTTAGAAATAATAAATGAGCCAGGCACAGTGGCTCATGCCGTTAATCCCAGCACTTTGGGAGGTCGAGGCAGGCAGATAATGAGGTCAAGAGATCGAGACCAACCTGGCTAACACGGTGAAACGCCATCTCTACTAAAAATATAAAAAATCAGCAAGGAGTGGTGGCAGGCACCTGTAGTCCCAGCTACTCAGGAGGCTGAGGCAGGAGAATGGCATGAACCTGGGAGGCGGAGCTTGCACTGAGCCAAGATCGCGCCACTGAACTCCAGCCTGGGTGACAGAGTGAGACTCTGTCTCAAAAAAAAAAAAAAGAAATAATAAATGAACTTAGCAGGGTTGTAGAATATACAAGATCCATATGTAAAACTACAGAATGTTTAGAAGAAAACGTAAGAGGAAATCTTTGTGACCTCGGGTTAAGGCAAAGTTCTTAGAGATGACAGCTAAGATATGATATCAAAAAATATAATCCAGCTGGGCACAGTTGCTCCAGACTATAATCCCAGGGCTTTGGGAAGCTGAAGTGGGAGAACCGCTTGAGGCCAGGAGTTTGAGACCAGCCTGGGCAACAAAGCAAGACCCCCATCTCTACAAAAAATAAAAACCTTAGCCAGGCATGGTGGGGCATTGCCTGTAGTCCCAGTTACTTGGGAGGCTGAGGTCAGAGCCCAGGAGTTCCAGGCTGCAACGAGTTATCATCACACCACTGAACTCCAACCTGGGCAACAGTGGGACTCTCGCAAAAAAAAAAAAAAAAATCCATAAAAAAAGAATAGCTTGGACTTCATCAAAATTAAAAACTTTTCCTCTGCAAAAGATACTGTTAAGAGAACAAAAAGACTGGGAGAAAACATAAGCAAATCATGCTTTGACAAAATGCTTGTAACAGAATGCATACTTTACAAAACCAGGCTGGGCTTGGTGACTCACGCCTGTAGTCCCAGCACTTTGGGAGGCCAAGGCAGATGGATTCCCTGACGTCAGGAGTTCCAGACCAGCCTGGCCAACATGGTGAAACTCTGCCTCTACTAAAAAAATACAAAAATTAGCTGGGCATGGCAGCACACCATGTAGTCCCAGCTACTCGGGAGGCTAAGGTGGAAGAATTGCTTAAACCCAGGAGGTCGAGGTTGCAGTGAGCCGAGATTGCACCACTGCACTCCAGCCTGGGCAACAGAGCAAGACTCCGTCAAAAAAAAAAAAAACTGTCAAAAAAAACCACACCTAACAAATAAAAAACAAAAAACAAATCTCAACAAGAACACAAACAACCCAATTTAAAAGGACAAAAGATCATGAACAGATACTTCACCAAACAACAGATATAAATAGCAAATAAGCACAGGAAAAGATACTCAACATCACTAATTATCAGAGAAATGCAAATTAAAACCACAATGAGATATCATCTTACACCAGTCAGAACGACTATTATTAAAAAGTTAGGTTGGGTGTGGTGGCTCATGTCTGTAATCCTAGCACTTTAGGAGGCTGAGGAAGGAGAAACACTGGAGCCCAGAGGTCCAAGACCAGCTTGGGCAACATACAAGATCCTGTCTCTACAAAATATAAAAAGCTAGCCAGGCACGGTAGCACATGCCTATGGTCCTAGCTACTCAGGAGTCTGAGGTGGGAGGATCACTTGAGCCCAGGAAGTCAAGGCTGCAATGAACTATGACCAAGCCACTGCACTACAGCCTGGGTGACACAGCAAGACACCCCCCATCTAAAAAAAAAAAAAAAAGATGTTGGCATGGACATAGAGAAAGGGAACACTTTAACACACTGGTGGTGGGAATATAAATTAGTTGAGCTTCTATGGAAAACAGTATGGAGATTTCTCAAAGAACTAAAAACAGAACTACCATTCAACCCAGCAATCCCACTAGAGGGAATATACCCAAAGGAAGAGAAATTATTATATTAAAAAGACACCTGCACTCGTGCAGCACTATTCTTAACAGCAAAGTCATAGAACCAACCTCAGCATCCATCAACGGATACAGAAAATATACACCACAGCCGGGCGTGGTGGCTCATGCCTGTAATCCCAGTACTTTGGGAGGCCGAGGCAGGCAGATCACTTGAGGTCAGGAGTTTGAGACCAGCCTGGCCAATATAGTGAAATCTTGTCTCTACTAAAAATAAAAAATTAGTCAGGCATGGGGGCACATGCCTGTAGTCCCAGGTACTGGATAGGCTGAGGCAGGAACAGAGCTTGAACCCAGGAGGTGGAGGCAGCAGTGAGCTGAGATCACACCATTGCACTCCAGCCTGGGTGACAGAGTGAGAAAGAAAAGGAGAAAGAGAAAGAAAAAGAGAAAGAGAAAGAAAAAGGGAAAGGGAAAGGGAAAGGGAGAAGGAAGGAAGGAAGGAAGGAAGGAAGGAAGGAAGGAAGGAAGGAAGGAAGGAGGGAGGGAGGGAGGGAAGGAAGGAAAAGAAAGAAAAGAAAGGAAAGAAGGAAAGGAAAGAAGGAAAGAAAGAAGGAAAAGAAAGAAGGAAGGAAGGAGAGAGAGAAAGAGAGAGAAGGAAGGAAGGAAGGAAGGAAGGAAGGAAGGAAGGAAGGAAGGAAGGAGAGAAGAGAGAAGAAAAATATATACCATGGAATACCACCCAGCCATAAAAAAGAATGAAGTCATGCCCTTGGCACCAACATGGATGGAACTAGAGGCCATTATCCTAAGTGAACTCAGAAACAGAAAATCAAATACCACATGTTCTCATTTATAGGCGGGAGCTAAACAGCTGGTACTCATGGACATAATAGTGGAGATAATAAACACTGGGGACTCCAAAAGAGGGTAAGGGAGGGTGGAAGAGGGACAAGGGTTGAAAAATTACCTATCATGTACAATGTTCACTATTTGGGTAGTGGATACTCAAATCTCCACCATTATGCAGTATACCCATGTAACAGTAATTTTTAAAAATCCACAATTAAATGCCTGTATACACCCACTAGTATCGCCGAAGAAAAAATTTTAATGACAATACAAAGAGGTCAAGAGGATGTAGAGCAAGTAGAACTCTCATGAATTACTGGTGGGAATGCAAAATGGTACAGCCACAATAAAAAAGTTTGCCAGTTACTTAGAGAGTTAAACTTAAGGCCAGGCATGGTGGCTCACACCTGTACTGCCAGAACTTTGGGAGACTGAGGCAGGTGGATTGCTTTAGTCCAGGAGTTTGAAACCAGCCTGGGCAACATGGCGAAAGCCCATCTCTACCAAAATCCAAAAAATTAGCTGTATGTGGTAGTGTGTACCAAAGTCTTAGAACTGAATATCAAAAAGAATGAATCTTACTGTATGTAATTAAAAAAACAACCAACCACCAAACAGCATAAGTTACTTACCAGTGAAACAGTGCATTTGGTGCAGTAACTGTGAGGCCTGGGTAAGAGCTTTTCATAATTTTGGGAATACAGACAGGGGAAAGACCACTGGGATAGGGGAGATCAAGGAAAGCTACACATTTAAATGGGCCGGAAGGAAGAACTACAGGGACAAAGATAGAAAGATAAGGAAGTGCACATCCAGTGTGTCAAGGGCAGACGGTGTAGAACAGAAGAGATGAAGACCTTGTGTGACATACCAAGCAGGGTTGACCTTACGTAAAGGAGTGACATGATCTTATCTATGTCTTACCACTCTTGTAGCTGTGTGTACAATGAGAAGTAGGAAAAAATAACTGAGGGAGATTAATGAAGAGGTACTTATAACACTCTGGGAAAATGATGAGGATGACTCTCAGGAAGTAGCGATGTAAATATGACTGCAAGCGATGCCTCAGAGGGCCATCTTAAAAGATTAGGTCAGTGATGACATGAGGCATGAGGAACAGACACCGTTCCTAAGTAAGTCTTCGTAGACAGGAAAAGTCAAAGGAACCGCAGGTGTAGGTGGGGGGCGGGGGCGGGGAATTGACAGGTTGTACTGGTGACTTGCAGGGTTTGAGGTACCTTTAGGACATGCTGCTGCTAATGCAGTCTGTATTATCATTTTGAAACCCCACGTCTTTTCCCTTAGACTCTCCAATGTTTCACAGAGAAACCAGACTCTGACCAGAGCTAAAGTGGCCACAGTATCACTAAGGGACAACTTGAGCAAAGCAGATCAACAAAGAGCACTGCAGCTCTGCTCCAGAGTCTCTGGGCAACTTGACACAGCAAGATAGACGGCAGCCCCAGGCGCCACAGGAGAGTCCCAGCCAGCACACTGAACCCGTAGGCCAGGAACAGCCAGTCCATACAAATTCTGAATAAACGAGCTTTAAGCGCTCAAACCATGCCATATGGAGAAAACCACAGGGATCCAATCGTACAGGTGCCCACTCAAGAGATCACACTTTCTGAAAAATATGAAAGAGAATCAAACAAATCTTCCTTGGACCTAGAGTTATTTTCTCTCTGAGACAATGTGCTTGTCCTTCCTATGACATTCTGCACAGTAAATGTGGGCATCTTCTTCATACATGGACTTCTTTTTCTCACCATGAACCTCGGCTCTAGTGTACTTGTTCCTCATCTCCTGCTGCTGACGCACGTAGGTCTTCCAGGTCTGGAACATCAGGTTATACAGGTAATACCTGAGGACCCAAAAAAAGCAAACGGCATTTCTTTAAAATAAAACAACAGGCCGGGCGCGGTGGCTCACACTTATAATTCTAGCACTTTCAGAGGCCGAGGCAAGGAGTTCAAGACCAGCCTGGCCAATATGGTGAAACCCCATCTCTACTAAAAATACAAAAATTAGCCGGGTGTGGTGGCACACGCCTGTAATCCCAGCTACTCCGGAGGCTGAGGCAGGAGAATCACTTGAACCCAGGAGGCAGAGGTTGCAGTGAGCCAAGATCGCGCCACTGCACTCAGCCTGAACAACAGAGCAAGACTCTGTCTCAAAAAACAAACAACAGCAAAACAACTCCTAATCCAACACACCAAGTCTGTTCTATACTAAGAAATTAACATTGACGCTTCTGATTTAAAAAACAAAAAACAAAAAAAACCCATATCTGCACCAAAGCTAAAATTTCATTTCCTACAATCACAATGAACTCTATTCTCTTTGAAGAAGAGTCATTCTCCATACCTTAAAGTGTCACTGAGGAAGCAAAGGCTTGACTGCTCCAAGAATAAGTTCACTTTCATCATCCACAAATTCATGATGTTTGGGCCAGGCAGAGTAGCTCACACCTGTAATCTCAGCACTCTGGGAGGCCGAGGCAGGCAGATTACCTGAGGTTGGGAGTTCAAGACCAGCCTGGTCAACATGGTGAAACCCCGTCTTTACTAAAAATATAAAAATTAGCCACACGTAGTGGCATGTGCTTGTAGTCTCAGCTACTCAGAGGCTGAGGCAGGAGAATCGCTTGAACCCGGGAGGCGGTGGTTGCAGTGAGCCGAGACTGCTCTACTGCACTCCAGCCTGGGTGACACCAAGACTCTGTCTCAAATTTAAAATTAAAAAAAAAAAAGAAAAAAAACAAATCCATGATGTTTGAAAAGACAATCTTGTCTCTTTTTTTTTTAACACAGGGTCTCACTGTCACCTAGGCTGGAGTGCAGTAATGTGAACATGGCTCACTGTAGCCTTGAGGCCTCCCTGGGCTCAGGTACTCCTCCCACCTTGGCCTCCGAGTAGCTGGGACTACAGGAACACACCACCACTCCTGGCTAATTTTTGTATTTTTTTTGTAGAGGGGGCTTTTGCCATGTTCCCTAGGCTGGTCTCAAACTCCTGGGCTCAAGTGATCTCTTGCCCCGGCCTCCTAAAGTGCTAGGATTATAGGTGTGAGCTACGATGCCTGGCCGACAGCCACATCTTAATTATCTTAACTATCCACACTATAAAAAACATCACTTCTCGTTTGCACTACCACATGGTCATTGACGCCTTTTCCTTCTTCTTGATACATACGCCATACATTTTAAGACTTTCATCTCTTCATATTTTCCTAGTTTTAAATATTTTATTAACATTCATTTTAAAAAGTTTTTTCTTTTTTTGAGACAGAGTCTCACTCTGTCGCCCAGGCTGGAGTGCAGTGGCATGATCTCAGCTTACTGCAACCTCCAACTCCTGGGTTCAAGCAATTCTTCTGCCTCAGCCTCCCGAGTGGCTGGGTACTACAGACACACACCACCATGCCCAGCTAATTTTTTTATTTTTTTATTTTTATTTTTTGGAGACAGAGTCTTGCTTTGTTGCCCAGGGTGGAGTGCAGTGGTGCGATCTCGACTTACTGCAGTCTCCGCCTCCTGAGTTCAATGAATTTGCTGGTCTCAACCTCCCAAATAGCTGGGACTACAGGTGCATGCCACCACGCCCGGCTAATATTTTTTGTATTTTCATTGAGATGGGGTTTCACTGTGTTGCGCAGGCTGGAATTTTTGTATCTTTTTTTTTTAATAGAGACAAGGTTTCACCAATGTTGGCCAGGCTGGTCTCGAACTCCCAACCTCAAGTGATCCAGCCACCTCAGCCTCCCAAAGTACTGGGATTACAGGAGTGAGCCACCACACTCAGCCTTCCCCATATATTCACTACTGCAATTATTAGGCCTTGATTTCATATTCTATCTGCTTATTAAAACAACTCAGTGTGTCTATATTTTAATCTGAAATATCCATAAATCAGAACTCTTGTTCCAAAGAACCTAGACAAAGAAATCACTAGAATAAGAGTTAATACCATTTTAAATATACAATCTATAAGAAATGACATTCAGGTTTTAAAAAAAGGTCTGAAAATGTGTACTTGATATAATAATTCTCAACTGTTACTTTCCCCTTCACTTACCCCTGGGAATGTGAATGTCAAGGATTAAGAGTTTTTTCCTTTCTTTTCTTCTTTCTTTGTGTGTGTGTGTGTGACAGGATCTAGCTCTATTGCCCAGGCTGGAGTGAGTGGCACAATCTCGGCTCACTGCAATCTCTGCCTCCTGGGCTCAAGCAATCCACCTGCCTCAGCCTCCCAAGTAGTTGAGACCACAGGCGCACACCCCTATACCCTGCTGGTATTCTGTACTTTTTGGTAGAGACGGGGTTACATCATGTTGCTAAGGCTGGTCTCAAACTCTTGCGCTTAAGTGATCCACCTGCCTTGGCATTCCAAAGTGCTGGGATTACAGGCATGAGTCACTGTGCCTGGCCTCTATTTTCTTAATATTCTATGTTGGGCATATATTTTCTCCCACAATCAATGTAAATTAGAACAACTTATTATTTTTAAAACAGGGCCAAGTATGGTGGTTCATGCCTGTAATCCCAGCACTTTGGAAGGCCAAGGTGGGAGGATCACCTGAGGTCAGGAGATTGAGATCAGACTGACCAACATGGAGAAACCTCGTCTCTACTAAAAATACAAAATTAGCTGGGCATGGTGGCGCATGCCTGTAATCCCAGCTACTAGGGAGGCTGAGGCAGGAGAATCACTTGAACACAGGGGGCGGAGGTTGCAATACACCACTGCACTCCAGCCTGGGCAACAAGAGTGAGATTCCATCTCAAAAAAAAAAAAAAATAGGCCAGGTGCAGTGGCGCACGCCTGTAATCCCAGCACTTTGGGAGGCCAAGGCGGGTAGATCACCTGAAGTCAGGAGTTCGAGACCAGCCCAGTCAACATGATGTAACCCTGTCTCTACTAAAATTACAAAAATTAGCTGGGCATTGTGGCATATGCCAGTAATCCCAACTATTTGGGAGACTGCGGCAAGAGAATTGCTTGAACCTACGAGGCGGAGGTTGCAGTGAGCCAAGATTGTGCCACTGCACTCCAGCCTGGGCAACAGAGTGAGATTCTGTCTTAAAACAAACAACAAAAAAAAAACCCAGAATACTTTCAGAATTAGAAATTATATAGAAATGAAAACCAGTGGGAAAAACCCATTCAAACTATTAGCATAACCAACACATACTAGTTACCTGAATTAGAGGTGTGGGAGGTGTGTGTGTATGTGTGTCTGTGTGCACGTGCCCAGCATGTGCATGCATGCTTGGGTTTAATTTGGAACTTTGATCTTGCTAACTCTAAAAATGATTTGAAGAAAAACCAAAAGTGATCCAAAGTTTGCTTCTTTTGACCATAAACATGCCAACATATAATCATCTGATAATGTGCATCAGTAAAACTGAAGGAGTATAACATGAAACCTGACCTGTAGTGACAGTCAGCTCGAACACAGAGTTTCCACTCATGATGGAAAACCCACCACTCTTCTTTCCATTCTTCGAAGACCTTCCGTAGTAATTGCTGCTCATAGTAAAATCTAGGGCAATACAAAAAAATCATATATATATATGATGATGTTGGAGCTAACATCTCTTCTCAAATCACAGTTTCATATTGTTGCCTTCTCACAAAAAAGTATGGCCGGGTGCAGTGGCTCACACCTGTAATCCCAGCACTTGGGGAGGCCGAGGCGGGCAGATCACGAGGTCAGGAAATCAAGACCATCCTGGCTAACACGGTGAAACCCCATCTCTACTAAAAACAAACAAACAAACAAACAAAAAATGAAAACACCAGCTGGGCGCAGTGCCTCACGCCTGTAATCCCAGTACTTTGGGAGGCCAAGGCGGGTGGATCCAAGGTCAAGAGATCAAGACCATCCTGGCCAACATGGTGAAACCCCATCTCTACTAAAAATGCAAAAATTACCTGGGCATGGTGGCATGCACCTGTAGTCCCAGCTACTCAGGAGGCTGAGGCAGAAGAACTGCCTGAACCCGGGAGGCAGAGGTTGCAGTGAGCTAAGACTGCGCCAATGCACTCCAGCCTGGTGACAGAGCAAGACTCCGTCTCAAAGAACAAAAAGTAAACACCAAGATAGATTAAAAACAGAGGCCAGGCATGGTGGCTCATGCCTGTAATCCAAACGCTTTGAGAGGTCAAGGTGGGAGGACTGCTTGAGGCCAGGAGTTCAAGACCAACCTCGGCAACATAGCAAGACTCCATCTAGGGCTGAAGTGGTAGTTTATGGCTGTAATCCCAGCACTTTGGGAGGCTGAGACAGTTGGATTGCTAGAGTTCAGGACCAGGCTGGGTGACATGGTGAAACCTAGTCTCTACAAAAAATAAAAAATTAGCCAGGCACAGTAGGGGCATGCTCTTGTAGTCCCAGCTACCTGGGAGGCTGAGGTGGGAGGATCACTTGAACCCAGGAGGCAGACGTTCCAGTGAACTGAGATTGCACCACTGCACTCCAGCCTGGGCAAAAGAGTAAGAGCCTGTCTCAAATACAAGAAAAAAAAAAAAGGCCGGACACGGTGGCTCACACCTGCAAACCCAGCACTTTGGGAGGCCAAAGCGGGCGGATCACAAAGTCAGGAGTTCGAGACCAGATTGGCCGGCATAGTAAAACCCTATCTCTACTAAAAATACAAAAATTAGCTGGGCATGGTGGTATATGCCTGTAGTCCCAGCTACTCGGGAGGCTGAGGCAGGAGAATCGCTTGAACCTGGGAGGCAGAGGTTGTGGTGAGCCGAGATCGAGTCCCTGCACTCCATCCTGGGCAACAGAGTGAGACTTTGTCTCAAAAAATAAATAAATAAATAAGATAGAATAAAATAAAATAAAACACTCCATCTCTACCCAAAAAATAAAAATAAAAAAATTTGTGACGATGTCTCACTATATTACCCAAGCTGTTCTCAAACTCTTGGGCTCAAGCGATACTCTCACCTGAGCCTCCCAAAGTGCTGGGATTACACACATGAGCCAGTGTACCCAGCTCTGAAATTTTTTTTTTTTTTTTTGAGACGGAGTTTTGCTCTTGTTGCCCAGGTTGGAGTGCAATGGTGTGATCTCTGCTCACCGCAACCTCTGCCTCCTGGTTTCAAGCGATTCCCCTGCCTCAGCCTCCTGAGTAGCTGGGATTACAGGCATGCGCCACCACGCCCATCTAATTTTATTTTTAGTAGAGACGGAGTTTCTCCATGCTGATCAGGCTGGTCTCAAACTGCTGACTTCAGGTGATCTGCCTACCTCAGCCTCCCAAAGTGCTGGGATTACAGGCTTTAGTCACCGCATCCGGCCCCCCCCCGAATTTTTTTAGTTAGCCAAGTATGGAGGCATGTACCTGTGGTCCCAGCTACTCCAGAGGCTTAGATGGGAGGACAGCTTGAGCCCCAGAGGTCAAGGCTGCAGTGAGCCATGAATGTGCCACTGCACTCTGGTCTGGGCAACAGAGCGAAACCCTATCTCTTAAACAATCAAAAAAACTTAAAAAGAGGGAAAATAGACATATTTGGCTTTTTCAGGTCAGAATCTCAGAGCTACTTAAACCAGAAATGAGGTTAAAAATTTTCTAATATTGATTTTACTGATTAAAGATGTTAAAGTAAAATAAAAATCTGACTTTTCTTTGGAGACAGGGTCTCGCTCTGTTGCCCTGGCTGGAATGCAGTGGTACAGTCACGGCTCACTGCAGCCTTAACATCCTAGGCTCAAGTGATCCTTTCACCTCAGCCTCCCAAGTAGCTGTGACTACAGACATGCTCCACTACTACACCTGGTTAATTTTTTATTTTTTGTAGAGGCAGGGTTTCACTATGTTACCCAAGCTAGTCTTGAACTCCTGAGCTCAGGTGATCCTCCTCCCTTGGTCTCCCAAAATTTGACTTTTCAAATACCATAAAGTGAATTGAAAATTACTATTTTTAATTTTTTATTCACCAGAATGAAAAATATTTTTATCACTAAAAAGTAGGAATGTCTTATTTACAAACATATGAAATTAAAGTTATAAAATAAGTAAATGCCTAATAATATTCCAAGTACTTAACAGGAACATAGGATATGAATTTAGCTGAAATCTGAAGAGGGGAGTTATAAACAACAGCAAAAGATGAGGAAGAGAAATTCGTCAGGAAGAAGGTAATAAGGAGCACAGAAGAGCAGTGACAGATGGTGTTGATTTTTAAAAATTTTTTTTGTAACAGTCTTGCTCTGTCACCCAAGCTGGAGGGCAGTGGCATGATCTCTGCTCACTGTAATCTCCACCTCATGGGTTCAAGTTATTCTCGTGCCTTAGTCTCTCAAGTAGCTGTAACTCCAGGTACATGCCACCCAACCGAGATAATTTTTTGTATTTCAGTAGAGAGGGGTTTTCACCATGTTGCCCAGGCTGGTCTCACACTCCTGAGCTCAATCTGCCCACCTTGGCCTCCCAAAGTGCTGGGATTACAAGCATGAGCCACCGCACTGGCCTGTCAATCACTTTGAATTTCTTTTCATGGTTCTGCAGGTTACTAACATGTTGCTCCTCCTAACCCACTCATAGTTTTGTTTTAATTTGAGACAGAGTCTCGCTCTGTTGCCCAGGCTGGAGTGCAGTGGCGCGATCTCAGCTCACTGCAAGCTCCGTCTCCCAGGTTCTAACGATTCTCCTGCCTCAGTCTCCTGAGTAGCTGGGACTACAGGTGCATGCCACCACGCCCAGCTAATTTTTGTACTTTTAGCAAAGATGGGGTTTTGCCATAATGGCCAGGCTGGTCTCGAACTCCCGAGCTCGGGTGTGGTCCACTGGCCTCAGCCTCCCAAAGTGCTGGGATTACAGGCGTGAACTACTGCGCTCAATTCCACTCACGGTTTTTAAAAACTAGCTGACAAAGACATACATAAGGGAATTCACCTCACTATTGCTTATAATAATAACAAGAGAAGAGTGAAACACCACAAATACCCATCAAAAGAGGACAGGTTAATAATACAATTCAATCAATGCCATGCGCTCATTTCCTATGAATGAGGCAGACCTAAGGGTACTGAAGGGACAGATGCCTCAGAAAGTGATTTGGTGAAAAAATAAAAATCACTGCATGATATGTATAATATGGTATGTTTTTTAAAAAATTAGGTCAGGCGCAGTGGCTCACACCTGTAATCGAAGCTCTTTGGGAGGCCAAGGCGGGCAGATCACTTGAGGTCAGGAGTTTGAGACCAGCCTGGCCAACATGGCAAAACCTACCAAAAATACGAAAATTAGCTGGGCATGGTGGTGCATGCCTGTAGTCCCAGCTACTTGGGAGGCTGAGGCACAAGAATTGCTTCATCCCAGGAGGTGGAGGTTGCAGTAAGCTGAGATCAGGCCACTGCACTCCAGCCTGGCTGACAAAGCAAGACTCTGTCTCAAAGAATGAATGAATAAATAATAGTATTTATATATATATTTTTTGAGACAGAGCTTCCCTCTTGTCGCCCAGTCTAGAGTGCAATGGCACGATCTCAGTTCACTGCGGGCAACCCTCCAACCTCTCGGGCGTTCAAGTGATTCTGCCTTCCTAAACAAAGGCCCCCCGACGCGACGCTGGAATTCCCGGCTCACCGCCCCCAGCTAATTTTTTTTTTTTTTGAGACGCGCGTCTTCGCGCTCTGTACCCGCTCGCGCGCTCGCCGGCCCGATCTTCAGGCTCTGGCGCCCCGCGGCGCGCTGCGCATTCCCCCTGGCTCAGCCTCCGGCGTCGCTGCGACTAAACCGGGCCCGCAACCGCCACCACTCGCCCCGGCTAGTTTTTTGCGTATTTTTTAGTAGCAGACAGTTTCAAACCACGTGGCGCAGGCTGGTTGACTCCTGACCTCCCAGGCGTGATCTGCCTGCCTCAGCTCCCAAACGTGGCTGGGATTGACAAACATGTGCCACTGCCACCCGGCCTAATTTTAACTGTATTTACCGGCACCTGAATCGTGGAATACATCAAAATGAACAGCCGACACCACACACACAACACACCACAGCCCGGTGACATAAAACCAAGGCCATGTTGTGCATATGCTATACATAAAACGATTATACCGCATAGCATAGGTTACAAGCCCGAAAAAGACTCCCAGAATAACATCAAACAATGCCAGTGTTCTCTCTTGGGACCACGCGGGGGCGCTCATGCGGGGGCTCCTAAACTGTACTTTCTATAATCATTTGCAGATTGTCTGAACAGTTCATTCACAACTTCTTTTTTTTTTTTTTTTTTGAAGACGAAGTCTTCTCTGTCACCTAGGCTGGAGTACAGTGGCGCCATCTCGGCTCACTGCAACCTCTGCCTCTAGAGTTTAAGCAATTCTCCTGCCTTAGCCTCCTGAATAACTGGGATAACAGGCACACGCCACCACGCCCAGCTAATTTTTGTATTTTTAGTAGAAACGGGGTTTCACCATGTTGGCCAGGCTGGTCTCGAACTCTTGACCTTGTGATCCGCCTGCCTCGGCCTTCCAAAGTGCTGGGATTACAGGTGTGAGCCACTGCGCCCAGCCTACAATTCTAAAAA